CCCCGCAAGTTTTGGTCTAGGTCTCAAGACCAAGGCAAGATGGACAGGCCCCGTCAAGGTTAAGGGTAACAGCAGTGCGTCGAAGCAGCTGGTCGATATCGAGACCCTGTCCGGACGTCCTCTTGGACGGGTTCACGTGTTCAATGTCAAGCGAGCCTATCTGTCGACTCAACAACAGTCACTACTCCAACAACTAGCGTCAGGAGATGACCAGGGCGTGGTGACTGCTGGCACGGCACCAGAAGTGGTGTCTGACTTACCACCGGTGCACTCTACGATGTTCCCGGATGCGCACTATGTTTTGGGACGAAGCGTCGAGGACAAGACTCCTGTGGTGCACATCTCTCTGGTCAAGGAACCGGTGGACACGGGTCTCTGGATACAGACTGACTGCTGCGACCTTTGGGTCCAGTGCCCTCAGACAGTGTTCGACAGATACAAGGACGAGTCCTTCCGATGCGTTGATGTCGGCCTGAACTGCCCTTTGAGCTAAGCGAACAGATGCTGATTACCATTCAGTATATAGCCTATGGCAATTTCTTTTTTTTGTGTGTGACGATTGCTACAAGTAGCAACGGAGGTGCCGGGCAATGTGCTCACACTCCTCATAATTAATATCTTCAGTAGCGCACGCCAAGCATGAAACGGCCTTAGTACTGGAGAACAAAAGCAAGATAATATATACTCTTTTGATCCAACTACAACTGCATTGTGTTATGCTCTCCAACGTTCAAGATATCAGACCGCTGAGAGTGCTGCGAACGGTTGCTAGTGAGCATAGTAGTTAGAAGACTTTTGTTAGAGTCAATATCGACCGCTGGTGCAAATCGCGCTCGCCCTCAGAAATCGATCATTCATGCAAAGTGCATGTACGATGCATGATGCAGGAAACGCGCATACATCTTGCTGGAGAGCTGCTGTCCCGTGTTCAGTGAATCACTCCAGGAATTCAGAATCGATTCTAGCATCGTATCATACGTGTAGAAAGTGATTCTGAGTTCTGAAGTCGGTTTACTGAAAAACCCCAGTGAAAAATCGAGTCTTTAATAACAATCTCGCAAATAGTGAAATAATAGCAGCGATTCCCTTGAGGAGTCTAGTGAATGGGTGACACTGATCGATTGGGACGGACTCTTCAGATGATGAGTAGGCTCATGGGAAGGAGGTGGACCGATAGGACTTGTCACCGGGGAAGAAGAGACCAGCTGTGGTGGAGATGGCAGGACAGAACCGAGGACCAAGTTACCGTCTGGACGCTGGCCAAGCACGTCGACTGGAGTAGACACCCTAGGAGGAGATTCCCTTACTGGACACGAAGGCGAGGTTGAGGGATTATCAGCCTCGATGGTTTGGGAGAGAGCTTGGACTTCGTCAGCATCAGAACGCTGGATCTCGATAGAATGTGAACGATAAGCATTACGCTTGATGCCTTTGCCGACACATGCTCTCCTTGCCCTCCCCGACTGATACGACTCTGACATGATGATGAATATACTAACTGTACTCTGTACTTATCTCTCACAATATCTAACGTGCATCTTTTCGTTTTATCTCAAAAATTGGCTCACGTCGCCGAACAGATGAACTAATGGACGTGCGCTTATCAAAGTGATCTGATGCTCTGTTGACAACCACTTAGGGAACGAAACACTAGAAAGTCTCGGGAGATGATCTTATGTCATCAGCTACGATAGTAAGATGAGAATATTCCGCTGCAACCTCATTCGTTGTGCGGCACAACTTCTAGTTGTGAAAAAGAGGAAAAGTTCTGGTAATACCAGAACGATGGTGTAATACCAGACAGCATACCAGATGGTGTAATACCAGAACTTTTTGTCTAGCAGTTGTTGTCTTCGCGTATATAAATGGTAGTTCGATAGCAGAATGGAGGTATACCTTGTATGCCCTCAGAAACACGATATCCAGGCCCCAACTTATCTGACAATGAATCTCGTATAGAAACAAGTAGACGAGAACAGTTGCAGTTACGGAGTTTCCTCGTTTTGAAACTCTCCCAAGCCCTAGGATTGGCCCTCCTCAGATTGTAAGCCAGACCTAGATAGTACCTAATAGTAGAGCTGATATCAGGTGGACTGAGGATTCCCAGATTACATTATGTCGATGAAAATTTTGGTGGGATTAAATTGCTTGAGAGCGGACAGCTCAGCACCAGCATAGTCCCATTGGAAGGTATGATGCCAATTGTGCCAACCATCACCGAGAGCGAGGAAAGCAACAATACCGCACTCGGTACTCACAGCATCGGCATCATACGGTTTGGGTCCCCACCTATGCAGTACTGAGTTGATGGACCACGTGACATGCAGTCCAAAGCAATAACGCAATACGCCAGGCAATAGAATGCCATTGATGATAGATTCACCCCAAAAGTAATTCGCTACGAGCGCAGGGACCTGAGCAGGTGTTGTTGATGGGAAAATCGGTTATAGCAGTGATAGAGCAAATGCTGCTATTACAATAAAACACCACGTTATATCCCACCAAGGGTAAAGATCTGAAGATCATGACGATGAAAGACAAGGATCCCCACACTGCTAACGTACAATGCTGCAGTAGTAATACATTATCATTATATAGATCCTCTACAGAAATCCTGCTGCAAGCATCTGCGACCAACTTTGGTTTATGTATCAATAACCATCCAATGTGGGCATAGAAGAATCCTCGTTGTGAATCATGTGGATCTCTATCAGTATCAGCATGAAGATGATGTGCTCGATGATTCGAAGCCCAGTGTATAATACTTCCTTGATTGGCGAAGCTATTGCAAATCATCAGAAATACTCTTAGCGGATATGTAGCTCTATAAGATCTGTGGGACCAGAGTCTGTGAGCACCCGCAGTGATGCCGAGAGCCGACAGAACATATACACAAACCTGCAAGACGTTTCACAGTACCACGTTCGAATAGAAGTACGAGTATGCCTTCCTTACCGTCCAGAGATATGTGTATGGATGGCAAGGGTACGCGAAAGCGTTGTATATACAAAAGCAACTAATGATGTGCACCTGCAAGGGTATGTATTACAGGAATCAACAGAACTCTCATCGCTCACCAGAGCCATGTAAGTCACCATGGTCCAATTTATACGAAAAAGTTCTCCATTATTGCTAGTTTTCATGGTAGCCTGTCTTTGTATTCCCACCCTTATACGATCCCTGGTTACTACACTCGTCAGCGACGAGTCGCCGCCGTGGTGTCTACCAGTACCACAACAACAGTCTGTATCGGCGGTCCTCCTATAAGACATTCGTATGAGTGGGACTAAACGTTGATATCGTGTTCCATTCGTCGTGTGAGAGCATCTGCGTCACGTCAGTCACGAGTCACCAGTGAGTCACGTCACTGAAGTGAGGTGACGTTGTGGTAGAAGGATCTACCCGCTCCTGTTGGCCAGTTTGTTAGTTGTAAGATATCGATCATTCGCCATATGTAAATCGACTCCGTTCGACCTTTACATGTTATCTGCTATGTCGTTAGACCGTTCGGCCCTGCTTCTGCGGAAGTACACAGTATGGGGGGCGCCAATAGGTGACCGATAGGTTCTAGATTGATATCTGGAGCCGATCGAGGCAGACAGTGATTGGGACAGATGTTCTGTGACGTTGAGTGGGACAACTAATCTAGTTGTCCCATTCAACGTCACACTGTGACGTGACACAAGTTCTGTCAGAACTCTAACAGTTGGTGTAGAACAGCTGAGCGGATTGGTTGCTCTATTATGCCGCTGGCGTGAGCAAACGTGCGCTAGTAGCGCTAGAAACAAAGCGCTAATCCACCTAGGACGTGCGATATGTGCTGAGTGACTTGACGTAGCTTGAGCACCACGTCACCGACTCCGGCGTCTCTATCCGTTCGTCTAGTTTTGGTCAACTCGACTTCACATTTATGTCCAGCTCGTCCATTACAGGGGATAGCTCCGATGAGGGGGCTGCCGACACATTATCGGACGATGCAAACATCACATTGTGTTGCTTATCTATGTGGTTTGATGGGTGCATCGTACCCTGTATTTTGTAGGATGCCACTCCTGTCCCGTGTTGTCTCACGGAACCAGTCTTCCGAGTTTATTTTGTGTATATCAGGGCACAAGGATACTGTCTGATAGTAGTTATAGGTGTTATGTGGGAATACCTGTGGAGAGTGAAAGAGAGTGATACGGTCCTCAGTCTTACTTTCATCGCAAACATCTTATAAACATGTGTTCGACAACTACTGTCTTTCAGGCCGGAGCTGTTGACCTTTTTTCGCCCTCTTCTGAGGCTACCCGGAGTTTGAGAGTTGAAGCTGATACAAGATGCCTCACTGGTGATGAGTTCTCGAAGATAGGACCTTCCGTGTCGGCTCTACAATCTGCTATACCTTCGCATTGCCGAGAGAGGAGCCTTTTGAGATCGGTTTTGTGTGTCACGAGGGATCTCCTGTACATCACGGCTTGTGCTACCACCCACTACCTGCTGTTAACCTCAATACCAGAGGACTATGCTCTCTTTAGGGGAGGCCTCTGGTGTGTTTACATCTTCTGGCAAGGTGTCTTCTTTACTGGTATTTGGGTGATGGGTCACGAGTGTGGTCATGGCGCGTTCTCCCCCTATCCATTGGTCAATGACTGTGTTGGCTTTGTCCTCCACTCGGCCTTATTGGTGCCGTATTTTAGTTGGCAATATTCTCATGCTAGGCATCACAAATTCACCAATCATATAACCAGAGGCGAAACTCACGTAGCGAGTCTCAAACATGAACTCAATGCATTCAGCCGCATACAGAGTACCCTAGAGGAATACGGACTTGACAAGGTCTTCCCGGTTTTCCCTATAGCGATGCTCCTGTTTGGCTACCCTATTTATCTCTTCTGGAATGTCTCCGGTGGCCGTGTTGGGTATGATGGCCGCTCTTACAACAAGACGAGGCCCTCCCACTTCAACCCTGAAGGTGGTCTCTTTCCTCCTCACATGAAGGAGAAGGTTCTCCTCAGTGTCCTAGGTTGCGCCATCAGTCTTCTCATCGCAGCCTATTGCACGACGATTGTAGGCTTTCACAACGTGATGTTGTGGTATGGCTACCCTTATCTCTTTACTAACGGTTGGCTTACCCTCTACACATCCCTGGAACATACACATAAAGATGTCCCTCATTACGGTGATGAGGCCTTCACCTTCATCAGAGGGGCTCTAACTTCTATCGACCGTCCATCTTATGGTTTTTTTTCTTCTTGTTTCCATCACGATGTCGGTGATACACATGTGCTGCATCATATCGACTCGAGGATACCTTGCTATCACGCGAGGGAAGCTACTGAAGCTATCAAACCTGTTCTTGGACATTACTACAGAGAAGACAACACCCCAATAGTGAAGGCGTTTTTGCGCGCTCATAGAGATTGCAAGTTCATTCGAGGCCTCACTGGTGTCCAATTCTATGAGCCCGGGCAGTCTGCGGAGTTCTTCGGTCGTAGTCTCCGTCTGCCATTGGAAGGTGCTCTAGAGAGCACTGGAGTTGCTGCTGAGGCCAATGCTACTCCCGAATCTGAGGAAGTCAGGAAGGAGATCCGTGATGAGATCGATCATCTGGTGGGCGCAGCCTTGCGTATCCGCGATGATGAGGTCAGTACTGCTCGCGGCCGCCTGCGCAGAGGCCCTCCAGTTGTGGGTTCGACCGTACTTGTCTATGAGGCCGGGATCGCTGGCAAAGGGGGAACTTATAATCGACAACCTTATGTCGTTGATGATATTTTTGATGGCACAACCTTAAAACTATCTAAGGTTGGTGAACCATCTTCTGTTAGAACTAGTCATTACTTGAATGTTCGTCCGTACTATGGATCATCCGCGGGGCATGTGAGATATTGAGGATTGTATTGGCATATCAGCTCTACTATTAGGTACTATCTAGGTCTGGCTTACAATCTGAGGAGGGCCAATCCTAGGGCTTGGGAGAGTTTCAAAACGAGGAAACTCCGTAAGTACTGCAACTGTTCTCGTCTACTTGTTTCTATATGAGATTCATTGTCAGGTAAGTTAGGTCCTGGATATCGTGTTTCTGAGGGCATGCAAGGTATACCTCCATTCTGCTATCGAACTACCATTTATATACGCGAAGACAATTACTGCTAGACAAAAAGTTTTGGTATGGGCGCAACGAATGAGGTTGCAGCAGAATATTCTCATCTTACTATCGTAGCTGATGACATAAGATGATCTCCCGAGACTTTCTAGTGTTTCGTTCCCTAAGTGGTTGTGAACAGAGCATCAGAGCACTTTGATAAGCGCACGTCCTTTAGTTCATATGTTCGGCGACGTGAGCCAATTTTTGAGATGAAACGAAAAGATGCACGTTAGATATTGTGAGAGATAAGTACAGATTACAGTTAGTATATTCATCATCATGTCAGAGTCGTATCAGTCGGGGAGGGCAAAGAGAGCATGTGTCGGCAAAGGCATCAAGCGTAATGCTTATCATTCACATTCTATCGAGATCCAGCGTTCTGATGCTGACGAAGTCCGAGCTCTCTCCCAAACGGTCGAGGCTGATAATCCCTCAACCTCGCCTTCGTGTCCAGTAAGGGAATCTCCTCCTAGGGTGTCTACTCCAGTCGACGTGCTTGGCCAGCGTCCAGACGGTAACTTGGTCCTCGGTTCTGTCCTGCCATCTCCACCACAGCTGGTCTCTTCTTCCCCGGTGACAAGTCCTATCGGTCCACCTCCTTCCCATGAGCCTACTCATCATCTGAAGAGTCCGTTCCAATCGATCAGTGTCACCCATTCACTAGACTCATCAAGGGAATCGCTTCTATTATTTCAGTATTTGCGAGATTGTTATTAAAGACTCGTTTTTTCACTGGGGTTTTTCAGTAAACCGACTTCAGCACTCAGAATCGCTTTCTACACGTATGATACAATGCTAGAATCGACTCTGAATTCCTGGAGTGATTCAATGAACACGGGACAGCAGCTCACCAGCAAGATGTATGCGCGTTTCCTGCATCATGCATCATACATGCACCTTGCAGGAATGATCGATTTCTGAGGGCGAGCGCGATTTGCACCAGCGGTCGATATCGACTCTAACAAAAGTCTTCTAACCACTATGCTCACTAGCAACCGTTCGCAGCACTCTCAGCGGTCTGAAAACGTCCCTATTGGGAAGGATGGTCATTCTGTGATGGAAACCCGTAAACGGGAGGTGTTCATGGACCTCAGCAACACTTCAAACTTTCTGCCTCCTCACACTGGTGAGTCTCGTCTTGGGGATGATTCTGCCTGGTTTTGCAGGATGACGACAGGCGCTGCCTCCCGAGGTAAAGCACGTTTGGGTGATGATGATGACGATGATACTATTATGCAGGGCACTACACCGGCTAGAATAGAGTCCATGAGTCCAGTGATTGACTGGAAGGACACCATCCCACCAGAGGATCGTCAAGTGATTTTTACTCAGGAATTTATCCCTCCTGTGAGGGACGATTTTCAGGATCTCGGAGACCCTCAGTTCGTGGCGGAATATGTGAATCCAATCTTCATCAATATGAATGGCGTTGAACAGAAGTAGGCCGACTTGATCGTCGGACGATCATCGTCCCTTAAGGAAGGTATCTTCTCTCCGCTTCAGATACAGACAGGCTAATGACTACATGCAGAGGACCCAGAATGATATCACTCAGCGTATGCGTGCAGTGCTGATCGATTGGTTGGTGGAGGTACATTGGAAATTCAAGTTGGTTCCTGAGACGCTTTACTTGACGGTAGCTATAGATGGTGCTCCTCTCGGTTGATGACTTTGTGTGTTTTCAGGTTAACTTAATTGATCGCTACCTTGAGCAGTGTCCAAATCTCCCACGTACACGACTGCAGTTGGTTGGTGTTACTTGTTTATTGATTGCTTCTAAGTGAGTCGAAGTTGGTTGAGGAGTGGTATGAGAAGAAGATGGTGTTTTCTGTCAGATATGAAGATATATATGCTCCCGAGATGAAGGACATAGTCAGTATATGCGACCGGACTTATCAACGTCACGAAGTGATGCAGATGGAAGTTGACATCCTCAACACGCTTGGGTAAGTGTCTCTTCTCTCGTATAGTGTTGTATTGGTGTTTGTTTTAGATTCTGCATCACTACACCGTCGCCTATGTTCTTCCTGTTAAGATATGCTAAGGTTATGGAGGCCGATGAGAAGCACTTCTTCTTGGCCCAGTATTGTCTGGAGCTTGCATTACCAGAGTAAGCTGCTTTGTCTCTGTCTTATGTCGCTTTATAATATATATGTTATATTAAGTTGCGTATATATTTTCAAGTTGTTCCATTGAGTCGTGCGTATGATATCATATTCATTTTGATCAGGTATAATATGCTGAAGTATTCCGCAAGTCAGTTGGCGGCGGGCGCCTTGTATTTATCCAACAAGTTGTTGAGGAAGTCGACAGCGTGGCCCCCACATGTGGCCGTACATTGTCCTACCACTGAGCACGACGTGAAGGTGGTGGCGAAGGACCTATGTGCATTATTGCAAGTGGCTACTAATGAGGATTATTCAGGGACGCAACTCAAAGCTGTTAAGAAGAAGTTCCGACTCTCCAAGTAAGAGGGGTTGGCAGGATTGGAATTGTGTCTTATGTGTTGATGTGTTGAATGATTAATGGTGTGATAATTTTTATGGATCTTCCTACGTGTTAATTATGCGAATTTTCGCATAAGTTGTTCGAAAATGCGAATGGATTTAACTTTATTTGTTATTGTTTTCAGGTTCCGGAATGTATCGCGTATGGTGCTCGGATGAAGATTAAAGCCAAAGTGCTTCTAGTGTACAATACTGATTTATCACGCAAGAAATTGTCTATGATTTTGAAGACTACCGTCCTGAGGAATACCAGTTGTTGGACGATGACGTTTATTCGTGTACGAAATGAAGCGCCGTGATTATTATCGTCGTATGTGATGATCGTTTGCCCGATTCAATTAGTTTCGTATGCTGCTGTAAGCAGGCAATGCATGACGTATGCTATAAAGGGAAATGATACTTCCTGATGACAGTATTGTGTTGGTTATGGTCATGTTGGCTTTTCTCAGTGGATTCGATTTCACTGTTGATTTCCCAGCACATGTTATTATCATGGTTATATTGGTTTAAAGTGTCTGTTGTGTTATGAGAGTTGGGGGATATATGTGGACGATGTGCGTTTGTTATTGTTAGTAATATTGCGTGTTAGCACACAGTTGCACATCCAATCGACACGCACTGTATTTTTATGCAACTTTCACATTATCAATTATTTCAGTTGTGTTTCTAGTGAAATCTTCTTCCCTCGAGCCGTCTTCCTTTGCCTTGAATGAGCCGTTGTTGATGATATTTGACGACTTTCTAACGGCTGAGGAATGCGATAGGATTGTGAAACTGTCCCTTAGACAGTCTGAAGGTAGTAGTATGGGGTTATCTATGGATATTAATGATAATATGTGTGTGTGGATCTGTTGCCGGGCATCACGGGCCTAGTGGCCGATCGCTCTTAAACATACAATCGGTGACTCCAGTGATTGTGAGAGGCTCAACGACAGCTCCGCAAGAAAGCAACGAATAAGAGAGAGAAGTCTGTTCAAGACTATGGGTTAAACAGTAGTGTGGAATAAAGCATAAGACAGTTAAAAGAGGCAGCGAGAAAGTTTGGCGATGCTCAATGCTTACTGCAGTGTCTCCTTGTCGGTGTAGAGCAGTTTGAATAGGAAATGATTGATCTCCGTAGAGGGGATAACAGCAGGGAAGTGAGGAGGATGATGTCGCAGAAAGGCCGGGCATGAGAGTATTCGGTGGTATATTGGTTTCCGACTACTGTGACTGCCACTGGGCTCAACAACTATTACCCCGTAAGGAGTAAATGCAATAGAGAGAACACAGAATCGAATTCATGAACGGTAGAGTACAAGAGTAAACACAACGTGCAAACAAATCCATAATCACTTTGTTGTGTGTAACGTAAGGCGTTATACAGAGAGTTGATGACAGTCACGATGAGATGGCATTCATCGTCAACAACAACACAGTGGAAGATCGTGGCAAATCGCAATAGGTAGAGTAATTCACCGCTGGTGATCCCTCAGGGTTCTCTCCAACCCGCGGCTATACCCTAATAATGCCAGTATTATACTGACAACCAGGGTTTCCTATAAGGCCAAAAAAAATTTTTTTTTGTTTCGGTGTTACGAAAAAAAATAAATTCATGTGTGATAGGCTGAAAAAAAAATTCGCTATTTTCTGTAGTTTCGCGGAGAGATATCGTAAAGGATGGTGAGTTATAGAGGCAGAGAATGAGGTTTATCGGGATATTATCTGGGGGTCTCCCAATGGCGCAATATTACAATCGAGTAATATACCACAATCGAATTGACGGCACAATATTATACAAACCTGGGACCGAAAGCTGAAACTCATTCGG